TCTAACGTCAATGCGTCGGTGGTTGCTTTTGCACACTCTGCCGCGTAGCAGTCTAACTAGTTATGCACGGTCAGCCAATAAGAATTCGGATCAAGATATAGAGGGAAATGTACTCAAGAAGGGGGCAAAGGGGTGCCATCCGCAAATGCTCGAGAGCACTTCATCCCCAAGGCGATGACGGATGACAAGACGCGAGTGAGAGTAGTGAAACGTTGGGTCAGCAGATTCGTAGTATGATGACGTTGAGCTATTGTAGAACAAGTGTTTGGAGCATGCCCCACGTTATCCTTATAACAAATCCTGTTGGCGAAAAGAGCTGTTTTTTGTTACACATTCCATCACAGCCGATAGCCAGGGGCCTTGCCGCTAAAGTTACCAGGTGCTTGCCGTGGCGTAGCAACTATTGTTGCCGTCCGGGGCGGATGTAAAATTGCCGCTCCACTTACGGTTTTAAATGCGTAAGCCCTCATAATGTCGGACAGCTCTTACATAATTTGTTTCATATAACAACGAACAAAGATCCAAATATACAGTGCTGCCGTAAATTCATAAGTTTTATTGTTGCAGTACTCGTGAACAAGCTTTACGCGCTTTTCGCGCATTACTTGAGGCAGTAGCTTTGGTAACGCTCTACATTCAGCCACTATCAGTCATGGTCATGCTAGGAGAATGAAGCTTTTACCAAAGTCAGGAGGCTTTCTTTTTACGCTGCTCGTTTGCAATCCTTCTCTATCTCGCACTATTTTACTCATACATGAGCCACTTCTTGGTTTCAAGCTGTCCTTCTATTTCATTATCTTGCTCTTGATTTTTACACGGTAACTGTTACACAAGCTTCTTCCATCGCTTCTCGCCACTACTCCACCCAAATCATACTCGACCCCAATTGTGCCTATCCCCTCCTCCTAAGCGCTGATTTCTTGATTCATTACTCCCTGAGATCAGTGTACAATCTCCAGTATGCGCTTGTATCGACTCAGCTCTGAGATGAATTCAATAAGCCTCTTCGAACAGCTGGTGCAGATTGAGAAGTTGCTTTGCCCTTATCTCCTACAAATTTCGCTGGCGCTCACGTGTTAAGGCTTAATAAGTAAATATATGAATACATAATTAACATGTTCCTCGACGATGCGACTTGCCGTCCAACTAGGTGGTCCGATCAATGTGTACAGTAGGATCACAAAAAATAACCAATTTGTTCACGCTTTTTACCATGGATCCAAAACGGGTAGTAAAGTAATTGATACGCTTAAGGTATTAACGAAATTAAAAAGCCAGGAACAATAACAAATGCAGATTTAATCAAATATCCAGATAAAGTAATGCGTCCACTCGTGGAACCGTGCCCATGGGAGCTGCTTCCATGCAAGATATTCCCTCGAAAGGTTTCGCCAGCCCTTCCACGTTATATCTGGCCGCGTGCCGGTGTGGCATAGTAGCACATGAGCCATCACCAGTTAATAATATGTCGTGATCTTTGCAGGACTGCTTTTATACATGTATTATGGGCGATGAAGCCTCAGCCCAGTCCGTCATGCGTATCATTCGATTATGGCACTTTTCATACGCCAGACTGTTGGTGTCAATGTGCCTTGCATAGTTAAAGTCTTTCATAATCTGAAAGGTATAGTCCGTCACCACACGAGATCAGCTCACCTGATATGCCACCTACCCAAGCTGACTGAACAATATGGCCGTTGAGAATAAAGTTGGAATTACTTTCAACAAATATGTTTACCATGTCAGAATATCCCCTCCCCGGAGTCGGTTATTTCCTGCTTTACGCTGATCGTGCTCCAAGACTGCGTCAAGAGTGCACATGCTTATTTGCTCTACACCATATGACCCAGTTAAAGTATCAGCAAACAAAACGCGCAAACTCAGGCTGCTTGAAATGCCAACATTGGCAGGTTTGTTAATTGTGTCCAAAGTTATGCGCTCCTTTTAGTCGGACGAAACTCTGCTCAGTAAGTTCCCAAATCTTTTTCCGCAAGCTCCTGACCGATCACACGGCGGGGTGAGTAATGCCTCGGCTTTTATCTGCAATATATCATTGACCAATGAAATCCGGCTACTACTACTGGGATTTGCCGATGGGATTGGGGAGCTGCATTGTGCCCTGTACATTACCGTATGTCAACCGACTTTGCATCATTGAGCCGACAGGTTTGCGCTCGCAGCCCACGAGTGAGTTGGTCCTTGTGAACGTGTTATCCGGAAGACTATAGCCCACTTACTGCGGGCAACCCAGATGTCGCGCTGGTGGTGAATACAGCATTCAGAACTCGTGCAAATGTCGCACTGCTCTGTCAAATAAAAATCGGCGTATTGACTCGAAAGGAATCAGCTGACGGATTTTCCAGTGGGTTTCTCAGTACACCAGCCGAAATGTTTCTGATGATCGGTGCACATCGATTCCGTATCGTGGGTTGCGAGCGAAGTCACGTGGTCACATCACGCGCATCGCAGACATTCAACGTCGGACGCGTGTTACAGACACCAATATCTGGTTCATTCGGCTATGTCCTTAAATGGGGCCAATGAGAACGACAAACTCACTGGCTGTATGTGAGATGTGGCGAGTTCTCTCAGGCAGTCTGGGCTTACGTCCTATTTAGCTCCACCCAACGTCTCACTGGGTCTTCGCACAATTACGTGGCACACACGCAGATGCAGGTATGGCCCTCATGTATCAGCCCCGTAAACCCACAACATCTTGTGAGTGCGACGCAGCTAAGAATCGAAATTTGCAAGTGTCACGTACTGATATTCAGCACTCGCCAGCACAGTCTTAACAACATTCTCCTCCGTAGTGGCGTTGAACTATTGCGTTTACTTTCGGAAACGCCATCCCATTTCGCTAGAACGAAGTTTATCTGTCTAGCTGAGTAGTATAAACCGCGATGCAAACAAAATTCATAATCAAGTGTTTTGATGCGGTATACACAAGCTTATATAACATGCAATTTCCCGTGCCACAGCAATCGAAAACCACCGAATCCGATAGCTGCGTAAAGAGGGTGGATTGTGCAAAGCTTCCAAATGCACGCGAACGAGCTTATTCTGATCAATCAGACTATCGGTGGAGCGCGGATGTGGTTGTAGAGGGCAACTTGACTCCGCATCGTTTATCTGTCAATATCACGATGCAGAAGTGAACACCTGGAATACTCCTACCGTGGTTGAATCATTTGATGGGGGACCCAGACTTGTGACTGCAATAATTCATCGTCTCTATTCCCTACTATCACGCTTATCGTCCCTGTTCACTATAAATCCCTACCAACTGCATACCGATTCGCCTGGCTTGACGAAGCCTATGTGGCCAAATCGAAGCTTTAACTAAGGAATCCGCCAACCGAGCGTTCTCAGACTTCTCCGAACGCAGTTCCTGTAGTTCCTTTCTGGGATACTCCCGAAAACTGCCATTTGAACCACACTGCTACTTCAAGTCATGGTGCCCATT